TATCCTATCAGAAGTATATAAAATGTGGATATCTTTAAAACAGGAGCAGCTAGGATTTCAATTTAAGCGGATTCTTAACCTTAAGATATCAACAAATACAACCCTGCTTTCAGATTTTGTCGACATTTTTATGCAACCTATCTTCGCTTCCTGCCCACCGTGAAAAAGAAGGTTACATTCAGAAAAAAATGTATAAATCGCTTTGCTAAGTGAAACAGTTTTTGATTAAAGTGAAATTCTCGAGCATAAAACACACGCGTTTCATTATCAGACGTGCGTAAATACATATATTTTTTTAAACAAAAGTTTTTTGAACCAAAACGTTCCTAACTTTTGGTGGATATTTTTATTTTTCATACGTCTATCATGTGAATAATGCATTAATATTGGGTACTAAGTGAATTTTAATTAGTTTTTCAAATCAAGACATACAAAAGTCAAAAATCTCAAGTAGTTTATATTAATTTGATTGCAAAATTCTACAGTCAGTATTTTATGATTTAATCAGGTTCTTATCGTTTTTTTTTTGCGATTGTATCATGTAATAACTAAACGGAGCACTTTTTGATTAACTCCTGGTGGTGAAGAGAGCTATAATTATTCAAAACAGAACAGAGCGAAAATGTAGCAAAGCATTGTTTAAAATAATATATATTAAAATAAAACCTAAGTGAAATGAACGACATACATAAATTATAAATGAAATCAACGCCTTCTTTTCTCGCTGAACGGTGTAGTAGCTTCATAGGCACGTTTGTTGTCGGTTTCGCTGTGCTACGATATTTTTAATTGCTAAATTTATATATACAAGAATAATAATACAAAAAGTAAGTGTAAGCAAAATTTGTAAAATCAAAATAATAAAAACTAAAAGAAACACTAATCTAGCAAAATTTTGTTAACGAACCCTTGAAAATGGTGTAGATTTGTGTTGGCAGATGAAGAACTTTTAGCTAGTCGGCGCTGCTTGGGCTATGCTCGATTTATAAATATAAAATAAATGCTTCTATAAAACATATAACAAAATATTTGTAAGATAAACTGTTGAATATTTGTGCAATGGGAACGAAGGCCAGCTCTCCCTTTATGGACTGCATAATAAAAATTTCTGTAGTCATTGAATAGATTCCAACACACTTTTTTAGTATTGGTAACAGCAGCTTTTGTTTTTTTTTAAACTAGGTTTCGATGTTCTAGTTTTATGCATATGCCAAATATCAAATAGTATCAGCGTTGCAAGGAGTACAAGATAGAGAGTGTAGGAATCTCACTCTCTACAGATCACGGCTGTTGGTTATATAACCGAAAAGGATTCGTTGCGTACCCTGTAAGAAATTTCACTCCAGCAGCATGCTGACAAAATAGATTTTGACCGTTGCAGCAACAGCAACTATAAGTAAACATTTTAAAAGGCGATAGGTGTCATAGATGTAAGTGAATTAATCGCGAACCTCGACTCCCTGGTTTTGTTTTATGTACATACATATATGAAAGTGTACAAATGTCCGAGTATACATATGTACATACATGTAGATCACGCATGCGCAGCGCTGGCAGGACTCTATAAGCAAGTGCAAAAGCGCTACCCATCACTGACGTATGTAGATACATATCTTTACCTTAATTCACAAAGGAACTAATCAACACTTTCTTCGTAACTGCATTTTTCACAGATTTTGGTAGGATGTATTAAAATACACCTTCAATACAAATTTTAAAGTGTTGGTACCAAACACAACGGAGTTACATGGCACTTTTTAAAAAGCCCTACCTGTTTTTGATAATCTTTTTATAATGTTTTTTGCTTCTCCTGTAAAATAAAAAAAAATGTTAGTTAAGGCCTTTGTGACTTAAGGTAAGGATATATACAGTTGCGAACAAGATAATATGTAGCAGCAAAATTATTATTGTAATTTCATTTAAAATATGGGTAGATCTACATATATCAGAAACCACATAAATAAAAGTTTCACAGCTTGCACAAAGTTTACAAAAACTAATTAAGCTTAAAAAAATGTTCATCAAAATTGCAATTTTTTTTGTTAGATTTTCTAGAAACAGTTTGTCTTAAATTTTCATTCATATTCGTATCAAGATCATTGGCGATTGTAGAATATTTTTTTTTCGAATCGTTGGCGCAAGGCAAATTAATATAATGAGATAGCAGTAGTACAAAAACAAAAATTTAGATGAATTTTGTTTTTGCTTTGGCGGCCTAAACTGTCAAAATCTGTAAGAGTGTATATGGAAATTCAAAGAAAAATTTTCAATTTGACATTCGAAGCCGTGAGGCGAAACACATACACAAAACCAGCTGATCTAGTATTGTAAACAAAATGTGTTGTTGCAAGTTATTGTAGTGTTTGCTAAGAGAATTCCACAATGCAAATATCACCGTCTACAACTTTTCGTTGCATAGTTTTAGGCCAATGCAACTCAGTAAAGTATTGATATTGATGTACTGGGTTTTTGAGGTGTGTATGGCAAATTATTTCATAACGAGCACAAAATGCCGAAAATCTTCTGCTGAATAAAAGGGAAGACACTGCTGAGTATGAATTTTATAATTACAGGCAAAAAATGCGGTAATTTTATTATTTTGAATATTTTAGTTTTTTAGTTTTTAGACATTCATAAAAAATGCTTAGGTTTAAATGTATTGTTGAGCCTGGAACATCCCGTATGATCCCGAAAAAACAATAAATATCAGTCCGGAAAGTCTAAAAAAAAAAACGCGAAAAGTGCCGGAAAAATTCCACAAAAAAAAAAGAGTAAAATCACGAATCATCGGGTTGTTACTGGAGATAAAAATGAAAACATTAATCCCAAATGACAAAAATTGCGTATACAGTACGGTGAAGTGGATGCAACATAATTCAAGCGAGACATACTATGCATCAGGTGGGATGTTAAAGGTGTAGTCTAAATATATTACGAGTTATTGAAATCATTTTTAATCATCTCTGGCAATGCCTACTGGCGACTGTTAATACTTCAAGACAAGTTGACTAAGCGCAGTGCTTATTTTGATTTAAATAGTGGACAACTATGTATTCGGTACGTCAGCAGTGGGATTCTAGAAATCGCTAGGCTAAATTTCTATACCTAAACATCTCTAAATAGCCCTAAAATTATGCAAAATAAAAGCCGAAGGGGTTCAATGTAAAATCGTAAGCATTATGTACAGGTTATGTTTCTCTGGAGGTGTTATATACTTTACGGCACAAGCCTTACTCATTTAGATATTTTTAGGCGATAGAAATTTTGCGTGGCGATTTCTAGAATCCTACTGCTGGCCTACTGAGTAAGTAGTTGTCCACTATGTAAAGAAAAATGAGCACTGCGGTTAGTCAATTTGCCATGCCTATTCACCCATTCTGCCGTTGCCGTTCAATACTACGAAAATGCGAGTATTGGGCTGTCAACCAGCGCAACCGGCCCAATTATGGGCCATTCACATGGAGTTGGCGATAGGGTTAAACTTGTCACAAACTAATCCAAAAGCTTTATATCGATTACTTTAATTTATCGATTACTTTAAAATATAAAATATTTATTTATACTAAACATACCTTACCAACTAAAGTTCACTCTCATTATTCTGTAAACAATAGGCAAACCCATTGGGAAGTTTACATACCCACAATATATATCGGCACCATCAATGCAAAATGCCCTATTTGATTTTTTTTTTTTTTTTTTTAATTATACAGGAGCAGCAAAACGTTTTGAAATTAAGGTAGGGAATGCTTACACAAATAAAGATACTAAAAAATCTCTTATTTTTCAAGGTAGGACTTTAAGTTTTGGTATAGGGTGTATCTAAAGTGTATTAAATAAACAAGGTGTGATTGTCAACTCAGTGTGGCTCTCTTCTAAGGTACTATTTATAGTGCCAAAAAATATAAACAAACGATTCATACAATTTTTTATTTCAATTTGACTATAGGACAGTTCTTGTGACAGCAGTGTCAAATTCCATCACACTTTATTAAATACATTTTGAGTGCATCTAAGACAAAAAACTCACCGAAAAAAATTATATAGGGCCTTCTGCATTGATGGCGCCGATACCTTCAAGCTGCTTTGGAGCTGTTGGCTGCCTGGCTGCTTAAAAACCGATTGCTGGTAACAGGACTGTTAACGCTTCCGGTTTCAAACTACTTCGAAAGAAATTTGAAACACTAAAAAAAAAAACGCTTTAAATATATACTAGTGTTGGAAAACGGATACACAACTTTGTAGCGTTTAGTAAGCATTTGCGGAATGAAAACAATCAAAGCTCATAACGTGCGTAAAAATTTCCATAATAAGAAATTAAAATTAACAGGCGATAAAAGTAAAAAGGATTAAAAAAAAAAACATCTAAAATAATTTTTAAGGACGAGTTAAATAATTTTAACTGTATTATTATAAAACTAAACTAAATAGTTGAATAAATTAAACAAGAACAAAATAAATTAAAAAAACAAAAACAAAAATAAACAAGCTTAAGAAAAATAAACATGATTGCATACACAAATTAAGTGTTTTTTAGGTATGTGTGGAATTATAAACGAAATGTAGGCGTAGAAAAGAAGAATAATGTAAGGTGCAGTCAAAAGACTGTCTCACTCAAGTGAAGAATATCATTATACGACAACAATACATAGGTACATACATAATAATAAATATATTATTATATATTGTAAACGTACTACATACACATATATATTTATTTGAACCCAGCATGGCGAACAAAGTACCCAAATATAAAGCACGCAAAATAAAGCATTGATAGACAACAAAGATACATAAATAAATTAACACGATTCCATAAATGCATAAAAATTTGTACTCAGTATATTACGAAGGACAATTTTAG